ACAGTGGAGCTCAGACTTCCAAACATGTTTGGCAGCTACCAGAGGAAGAGAGGAAAAGCACATCTTTATCTGTATTGGAAAAATCATAAATGCAGCTGAGCCTACACTTGTAAAGAACAAAAACAGGAAGGAAAACTAGATTGTTATATTTTCTGAAAACAATGAGCGCATCCATGGAAAAACTCACCACCTTGATACTAAGGCATCTGGGTGGTCGCTTAATTGCTCAAATCAAGTGTCAAGTGAACATCATGCCTAACCACAAGTATGAGCAATAGTGATGCCCGACTTAAACATCACTAATTAAGTGTAAAATGAACGTGAGAAATATTAATGCTTCAGTAAGCAGGAAGTCCTGCTGTGGCATGTGGATATGAATAAAATTTGTTTTCCACATTTTCCATGAATTTCCAAGCAGTGCTTCGTTTTTCCAGACTCTTACAGGGATGTGTGAGTGTGTTTTACTCCCCTGTGTGAAATGAGAAGGTTAAAAACACACACTTCTGTGAAAACGCACATTTGTACTTCCTTGTGCTTTTCACACACAAACACAGAGTGGCATAACAACCTCAAACCTGAACTTGTTACAGAAGGCTGCACACCTTAAACACCAGTACAGTATCCAAAGCAATGTTATTTATTTTTTACAGATGCTGTTCACGGCTCAGGAGAGATCAGTTATGTTTATTGCAAGTATCAACTTTATCTCAGATGTTTCTCATAAACATCCTCATAAAAATATAAATGGACATAAAGAAGACAATTACTGACGAAGTAAGAGTATATGGCAAAAGCTATAAAATTACTGTGGATAGCATAGCTCAGATCATATAGAATGAGTTAAAGCGGTGTGTCATTAGCACAGCAGTGGTAGGAAAAACTCATGTGCCTGGATGATAGATGCCAGCGATGTTATATATCAGTGGTTCCCAACCCTGGTCCTGGAGGCACCCCAACACTGCACATTTTGCATATATCCTTAATCAAACACACCTAATTCAGGTCATCGGCTCATTAGTAGAAACTCCAAGATCTGAAATTGGTGTGTCAGAGAAAGGAGATATGCAAAATGTGCAGTGTTGGGTTGCCTCCAGGACCTGGGTTGGGAACCACTGTTATATATACTGAAAAGAGGAAGGGACCCAACACAAAACCTTGAGGTACACCAATGGTAATTTGATCTTGAAAGAATTTGATAAAGAAAAGTTAAGGTTCATTTTACAGAGGTACATAAAAAAGGTACATACAAAAGACAATTATTGACAAAGTAGGGATATATAGCAATAAAACCTACAACATTACTGTGGATAGCATAGCTCAGATCACATGGAATGAGCCTAAGAGTTAAAGCTGTGTCTCAACGGCACAGCAATGGTAGGAAAACTCATGTGCCTCGTTGATAGATGCCAGTGACGTTGTATACACTGAAAAGAGGAAGGGACCTAACATAGAACCCTGAGGTACACCAATGGTAATTTGATCTTGGAAGAATTTAATAAGAAATGTTAAGGTTCATATTAAAATCTCTGAATTCTGATTTCAGACTTTTTTTTTTTTTTAAATCTAAGCACAGTGTGAGACTGCTAGGTGTGAGGTTTGTGATGCCCTTCGCTTAGAAGAAACATATAAGAAGGAGAATTAATCAAAAGTTTCCATTTGCTCTCACCTTAATATCATTGACTAGGACAAATAGTTAAGGGATTAAAGAGGAACTAATTAGAGTTAGAAATACTAATTTAGAGGAACTGGAAAAAACAAAGTCATGGAGGTCATTGGCTTGCTGAGTTCAGATAACATCAAAACCCAAAAAAGTGTAAATAAAGTGATCAGAGCAATATCAGCAGCTATTTTCTCCATACTGGTAGTAATGCACTGTTAACAAAGACACAGAGCGTGTGCTTTTCTCAGAATTTTTTAAAGCAGTGTTTGTTGTCACATGTAGGGCAGTGTGCATGCATACCTGAGCTGCTCTAGTTGAGCCATGTGTATGCACAAGGATAAGTGTGTGTTGGCATCTGCATGATAGCGGTGGGCTATCTGAGGGCAGCTGATATATATATATATATATATATATATAGTCATTCTTTCCCACACCAGGTGATTTCACTAAACAAATTGGAAATTCACAATCTGTTTGTTGATGAGTGTGGGTACAATGTCTGTGCCCTTGTCTGTTTCAACTGGAGGTTGACGAGGGCGTAAGAGAAGGCGTGTGGGCAGTTTAGCTGTCTGATTGGTGGGCACAGAAAAAGCCAGAATTTCTCCTTCAGTCATGTGCGTTGATCCTTTGCCTGCCCCAAACACATAAATACACACACCCACACAACTGTCCGGAAAAAATAAACTTAAAAAAGCTTCGTGTGACAGCTGCACCACAAAACATGCAAGTCACCATAGGTGTCCACGACCCCATGTGCACCCTTCTCTACCATTTTTTCTTTTTTTCTTACCGTGAGAGATGTGAAGGTCAGACAGATCCCTCCAAAGCCGTTGAGTGAAAGAGCCAGAAAAATCAGCGCAGAGAGGACTAGAACAAAAGGTGCAAACCATCATTACACAATCAAAATGTGTGCTTGAACAACTCAAAACTGTTGCAATGACTTTGATATGACAAATCAAATTTTATGTGTCTTCTGTATACAGTAGCATACATATAAATGCTACATTTGCTACTAAATGCAACATTAGATCTGGGTATGGCTGTGAATGTTTATGAACATTTTAAACAAAATTTACTTTTACAAAATTTACATTTTAATATTTGAAAAGAAAATTCAAATTACATTCTGCTGCCTGCACATTTTAAAATTTTAAAATTGAATAGTTAATTCACAAAATTGGTCAAATAATGGATAATTAATTGTCCCTGCAAATATATTGTTTTGTCATTACTCTTTTTTTTGAAAAGCAGCAACAATCAAAAAAAAAAAAAAAGTAATTTTAAGTAGAAAAATTATTATTCCTTCTGGAAAAAAAAGAAAAATTAAATTTTAATTTGCCAAAATGTGAAATTTCTGAATATAAATTGAGTTCTTTTTATTCAGTTAATTGAAATCATATTAATAATTGATTACTAAAATAGCCTCTACTGACTTTCAATGTTTTTAATTTTAAATGTTTAAAAAAAAAAAAAAAACTCCAGTAATTATTGACTTATTGATTGATTATAGCTGTAATTTGAAGACTCATGCACATTCTTTGTGTATTTTTGTTTGCAGCTCACCTTCTGGTTGATATGATGATATGGACATAATCACACAAGAGAGCGCAAAACACGCACTAAAAAAAAAAAAAAAAAACATGAAAGATTATTAAATAAACGCACATACTTAAATGTGAAAGTGCTCTCATATGCACATATTAGTCAGTGCTTTGAAATGCACAAAGTCATGCAGAGATTCCATGACTCAAGTGCATTCTTTAAAAAATGCGTTGCTTCCTGACGGAGTGTTGGCACTAGGGCTGTGCGATTTGGGGGAAAATATCAAATAAGGCTGGCGGTCATGCATATGCTCTGGAACAGAGTAATATCGCGTCCATATCGCAGGCTTTGCGACTAGGAAATCGCAACGTCTCAAATCGCGATTTCGATTCGATTTCGATTAATCGCACAGCATTAGTTGGCACTGTGTTCTAAAACATGCACAGCACTTGAAGCATTAATGTGTAGGTTTGTCTTCACCTTCCAGTAAGGCGAAGAGGCCTGGGGCCAAACCGGTCCATCAATATACCCAGTGGCAATGTGGCAGCACTGAGCAGGAATGAGCCAATGGTGAAGCCCAAGTTCAGCATTTCTTCCTGTTCCACACAACTCAGCCAATCATCTGGTGCGCTAGCGTTCACACCCTCAGTCTTATTTTCTACAGAAAGAGAGAGAAAGGAGGTCAATGAAAGCAAGAGACAGAGACTTTATTAAGTTTTAAAGTCGCCATGCAGTTCAAGTTTCCCAGCAACTCCGGCTCGGTTTTCTTTCGGTGCTAGTTAGTGACCTGTGGTGTGATGCTTGTGATCTGCTTGACTTCTATGACTGATTACCTGTGCACAGGTGGGAGTAAAAGCCCTGTCCTTTGAGCATGATGAGCAGAGAGCCCCAGCCCAACAGCACGGCCGAACACGACAGATTCTCCAGCACGGCTGTGACGGCCATCCACCAGCGCCTCCTGTACGCCTGCGACAGAGACGGAGCCATCCTCCTATCAGACAGAGAAAAAATGAGTGTCAAAGCTCTGGCAGAAAACACACAGTGGCATATTTGAAAAATATATACAGTTTCTGAAGGCAATATTCTGCCTTAGCAAACTACATTTTTAACCCAATAAAGTTTTATATACAGTGGGTACGGAAAGTATTCAGACCCCCTTAAATTTTTCACGGGTCTGAATACTTTCCGTACCCACTGTATATAGATAGATGGATAGATAGATTGTGTAAATGTGTGCAATTTCTACATGTGACGTATGAATTCCACTCCACAATCATTCTGGTATAATATAGTTACACAAATATATATATATATATGTATATATTTATATATCAGAGAACAGTGACCTGAGTTTGGAGAAATGTTAAATCGATTGAGAAAAACTGTAATAGAAAGTTTATGTGAAATAGGAATCTTTTCTAACATTATAAATGCTTTTAAAACCAACACCCATAAATCTTCATTCTTGAAATCTCTGGAATTTATTTAGTTTGAGACGTAAGAGAGAGACACTCCCTAACATTTGCTACAACCAAGACACGCAAAACCTTCCTCTAAACAGGAGGTGTGCCCAACCGATTTGCATGCGCTCTTTGCGAAACCACTCGCAATAAAAACCACAATCACACGTGCTTTGTTGTATCACAAATTTTAACCCTTAGTTTTGTTATTAAATCAGAACCTGCATCTGAAAGGCATGAGAAATGTGTATCCTCTAATTCTAGTAGAGATAATATATTTTTTCTTCAAATGAGTCCAAGTTTTTGTTTGTAAACGGGTCAATTATCACATGACATGAAAACGATCGGTCATTATAACTCGGATAACCAAAACACACACACACACACACACACACACACACACATACACATACACATACACATACACAATACACATACACACACACACACACACACATACACATACTTGTATTTGTGGTTTACGGGGACTCTCCATAGGCATAATGGTTTTTATACTGTACAAACTGTATTTCACACACACACTCTCTCTCTCTCACACACACACACACACACGCACGCACACACACACACACACAGTAAATTCAGAAAGAGAGCGATATCAGAGTGTGGGCGGGAGACACAGGCAATACAAAAGATATATAGAAAGCAGAGAGAAGAAACGGCCGGGATCTCAGCAGGACACAAGCGTGTTGTGTTTAATACGATTAGACACAGTCCACTAGACGTCTTTGTCCTCAAATGCTGGGCTTACAGATCGATTTTTTTGTTACTCGCACGGTCTATTAGGGCACGTGCTCAAAATAATTGAGCACCATTCATATTCTCCAGAATGAAGAAAAGCAGGTCTGACAATGGTGGAAATTCATCAGCATTTCCAAAGATCACAGTTTTTTCAGTTTTCACGTTTCAGTCGCACATGTGTGTTTGTTTACAGTACGCATGAAGACGGTTTTGGCGTCTTGTGTTTAGTAAAAACATCAGGCATCTACTGTAATGTAAACTCTTGGCATAGAGGTCTGCAAGCCACATTTCACACATTGCACAGTTAAAAAGTAACTATTAACAGCTCCGTCCACTGAGTTGCTCGACTGCCGTTCAGTGTGTTTGTTTAAAGGGGACCACTAATGTCCTCTAATGTTACGTCTGTTTATCAGTCCCTATGAGCAGAGACATGGCGGATGGCCCCTAAGAAATGATTGTTTTGGCCCCGGGCCCAGTGAAGTTTCATCAGTGACCCTGTGTGTACATATGAAAGAGCAGACACACCTCTCTATAAATGTTTATAAGCAGAAAATGTTTTATAATGAAGTTCAGGTTTTAAAGTCTTGAGAGCATTTCAAGTTTAAAATATTAAGTGTGCCCTTAAACTTTCCATTTGTGTCCTCTTTTGGTGAAGAATCAAATCTTTTAAATGGCTGAATCTTCCATGTTCACAGTAACCAAATCGAGTCTTTTCTAATCTTTTTTAACGGCTGGAATAAAGACCTTTCCTAAATATTAAGTGTGCCCTTAAACTTTCCATTTGTGTCCTAAATATTAAGTGTGCCCTTAAACTTTCCATTTGTGTCCTAAATATTAAGTGTGCCCTTAAACTTTCCATTTGTGTCCTAAATATTAAGTGTGCCCTTAAACTTTCCATTTGTGTCCTAAATATTAAGTGTGCCCTTAAACTTTCCATTTGTGTCCTCTTCTGGTGAAGAATCAAATCTTTTAAATGGCTGAATCTTCCATGTTCAAAGTAACCAAATCGAGTCTTTTCTAATCTTTTTTAATGGCTGGAATAAAGACCTTTAAAATCTGAACAGACTGTAAATCAGAGCAATGCAAAGAAAAAAGGCAGAATTGTGAGATATAAACTCAGAATAGACAGACGTTAACTCGCATTTCTGAGACGAAAAGTCAGAATTGTGATAAATAATAAAAGGCGCAATTACTTTTATTTCGTGGCGGGAAAAAAACTGAATTGCGAGATGTAAACTCAGAATTTTGATAGAAAAAAGTCAGAATTGTGAGATATAAACTCAGAATAGACAGATGTTAACTCGCATTTCTGAGACGAAAAGTCAGAATTGTGATAAATAATAAAAGGCGCAATTACTTTTATTTCGTGGCGGAAACAAAAACAGAATTGCAATTTGTAAACTCAGAATTTTGAGGGGAAAAAAAGTAGAATTGTAATAAATAATAAAAGTCAATTACTTTTATTTCGTGGCTGGAAAAAAAAATGAATTGCGAGATGTAAACTCAGAATTTTGAGTGAAAAAGTCAGAAATGTGAGATATAAACTCAGAATAGAATGATTTTAACTCGCATTTCTGAGAAGAAAAGTCAGAATTGTAATAAATAATAAAAGGCGCACTTACTTTTATTTCGTGGCGGGGAAAAAAATGAATTGCGAGATGTAAACTCAGAATTTTGAGGAAAAAAGTCAGAAATGTGAGATATAAACTCAGAATAGAATGCTTTTAACTCACATTTCTGAGAAGAAAAGTCAGAATTGTAATAAATAATAAAAGTCACAATTACTTTTATTTCGTGGCGGAAACAAAAACGGAATTGCGAGATGTAAACTCAGAATAGACTGATTTTAACTCACATTTCTGAGAAGAAAAGTCAGAATTGTAATAAATAATAAAAGTCACATGATTTTAACTCGCATTTCTGAGAAGAAAAGTCAGAATTGTAATAAATAATAAAAGGCGCACTTACTTTTATTTCGTGGCGGGAAAAAAAACTGAATTGCGAGATGTAAATTCAGAATTTTGAGTGAAAAAGTCAGAAATGTGAGATATAAACTCAGAATAGACAGATTTTAACTCACATTTCTGAGAAGAAAAGTCAGAATTGTGATAAATAATAAAAGTCAATTACTTTTATTTCGTGGCTGGAAAAAAAAATGAATTGCGAGATGTAAACTCAGAATTTTGAGTGAAAAAGTCAGAAATGTGAGAT